GATCACCCTCTCCCAGGCCAGTGCCACTGTGACACAAAGGATGTGTTCATGGCTACTGGGCTGCAGATTCAGGGATAATTAAACATCCCTTCATCAATTTACTGACCTTTACTTAGAATTTCAAGCTTTCCTAAATTTTGCAAGAAGGGCTGGAGTGCCCTTTTGTGCAAAGCACATCAGGGCAGTTTAGTTCTTTACTGCTGCAATTATCTCCTGTGTTCTCCATGGTACTTCCTAGTCATGGTTAATGCATAGCAAAAAATTTGTTTTAACTATTTTCTCTTTATTACAAGGAATTTTTAAAACCACTGTTTATTCTGCTTGCCAAGTTTCATTTCCTTTGCTCTCTAAAGAGCAACCTCTGTCCTTGTTAAGAGTCAGCACTGAAATGAATACGGCTGTTGTCGGTGCCAGCTGCCCAATGCTGCTGAATAAAACAGTGCTCAAGTGCTTCTCATTTGCAGAGTTGAACTTTCCAGTTAAAATCCCCAGAGTTTTAATGCTTTAACTGCTCTTTAAAATTGAAAGAGACACACTTAATATTGATGATGACAAACAGCTACCCTGTGTAACAAAATGTGGCTCCTGCCTCTTCCTGACCTTTACACCAACAGTCAGTCCCACATGGGTACTCCCAGGCTGAAAGGTTTGCACCCATGAGCTGTAATTTTGTGATGCTCTCCTTGCACAGCAGAAGCCAGTGAATGCTCAGAGCTCACCTGGAGGGCATGAAAAATGCCCTGTACCTAGGTATTCAAGGATGTTTAAAACTTGCTGTAAAGGGATGTGTGTGCATAACTATGTTATGTTTGGCATACGCTCGAAAGAATTAACAGGAGAGTCCACTACAAAGAGAGCTCAGTTTGTCTCTTATTTTGCTTCATTTTAGTTCCAGTAATGTGATTAGATTTTCTTTTTGAAGACCTGAGTTGTATTGAAAAATAATTCTGATCATATTTTAGAGCACTTTCTCCAACTTACAAAATCCATCTCTTAGTGTGACTCCATTTAATATTCTTCCTCTCTTTGCTACACATTTTATTAAAACATCCATCTGGTAAGACATTTTTGTCTTCTGTCTTTTAAGGCTGCTTTTTAAATTCCAAATTTAATGTAAGATGTACAGAAAGTTTATTCAGCTGACACTGGAAAATGGCAAACCATATTTTTCACCCCTTTCTAATATATGCTTACTATTTTAGAGGGTAATAATTGTTCCACTAGTTAGAAGAACTTGGGATGTTATTAAATTATCACACAACTTTTGCACAGCTGAAATTATAGCAATAACCAAACACTTCTTGTGATTTATAATGTTCATTATTTAAATACTGCTCTAAAAGATGGAACAAAATTGAAATGATCAGTAATTTTGTCTAAACATCATAGACATCCTGTGAGAAGGAGGGATGATGTGAAAAAATCCACAGCTTTAAATAGGAAAAAAAAAAGTAAACGACTCCTAAGAACTACAGGTAATGGCCTCTCTGCATGTGTACTTACAATATGCTTAATAGTATTCATATATGACTCCAGAAACTACATCTATTCTCTCCTAAGAGGAACCTCAATGGACATTTAGGCCACAAATTTCCTCTCCAATATGACCAAATTCTTCCAAATGTGTGCTCAAGGCATAGTGCATTATTCACATAAGAATAAGAAGTCAGAAATGCTTCCCAAAATTAACATATGGCAAGACCAAAGGCCTTATCATAGAACTTAAAGTGACTGAAAGTCAGCTGGATTAATTTCAGGAGAAAGAGTTCTAGACTGGCTCCAAAATGCAAAGAAAGTATCTAATTGCTTTCCTGTTCTCAAATCCTCTGTAAAGCTAACTCTTGCAGATCAGATAGTGTATGTTACTGTTATAATTATAAACTCACTTTCATCACATGACTTTGAAATGTAATAAATAAAGCTTTTAATGCCATGAATGAAATTGTGAAATTTTTGAATCAGTCATATAACATTCATCTAAACTTTTCCATAAACTATTTGTCAAATTCTTTATTGCTGTGAGCTTCCAAGAAGTTTTTTCAGTTGAACTTTATAAATTAAATTACTGTCAGATATTATATAGTCATTGTTTAGTATTAAAAAGAAGTGATTATTATATGGTCCTCAATACAGAATATTAATTCTAACCCTTGTATCTATGTATGTTTATTGAATTAAGAAAGATTGTTTACATGGGCAGATTTTCAACAACACTATCAATCACCTGTATTGTGGAAAAACCCCAGGCTATTACTGATTTAATTTTTTAGTATTTTCTCTTTCTAGAAAAATAAATGTGCAATTGAAAAACTATACTGTCTTTGAAAATGACACAGCCAGTCATTTACAAATACTTCCTAAACCAGTCAGTGTGTGTATGGGCACAGGGGACTGCCTGCATGAAACAAACTGCAAGACATGACAGGACTTAAATGTAATGCTGATTGCACTGAAGTACCATTCATGCCTCTAGTAGCTGACAATACAAGCAGGAAACCCACTTTCTACTCAGTGGTAGAATTCCAACCGGAGTTTGATCAGGCTCTGAGAAAACAGAGACAGTTGGATGATAGTAAAGTAAATTTCCCACTACTGTAAACTAGCTAATTAATGATATGGAAGTATATTTACCTCTTTTTAAACAAGTTCATTAATTTAAAAAAGCAAGCAAAAAAACTTTAAAAGTGTTCCTCTGACCTAATGCAAGGCCTTTTCTTACCAAATGAGTAGCATCAACGTAGAAACCCTCTTCCATGGACAAAAAATGGTGCTGTGCTGTCACCACTTTTTCTCCGACTCCACCTGACAGAGTTTCCTGGTGGTGCTGTTTTTTACCTGACAGTTGATTAAACACTTTCATCATCGGTGGCAATACTGGCAAAAATCCTATTATCACATTTATTAATTTTTGAAGTGCTCTATTGTGAGCATTACAATGACCTGAAATGGAACAGCTGTCACTTCTTTGCACACATGTACCTTGGCTTCCATTGAGCTCTTTTTACTATTAAATTGGAAAGGTCTTCTTTTAATGATGCGCAATGCATACATACACTTGCCATGTAAGAGAAGATAAACTGCTACTAACTCAGAAATGTAAGAGAAAGCAGATCCCCCATGTTATTATCAAGCAAAACTTTCATTAATGTTGCAAGATCTTAAGTTTCATTTGCACTAAAGTCAATCAGAAGTAGCTCCACTGAAAGCAGGGAAGTTGCAATTGATGTAATTACAAGATGGACTTGGATTTGAACTTGCCCATCTACTGCAAGTAAAGTACTTAGGGCTTAAATACACAGTGAATTTTATCATTTATAATATTTAAATTGATTTTGAATAAGAGCCAGACAACAGTATAACATAACTAGTACTGGAAATGACAACTGTATGGATTGTTTTCACTTTTCTCTGCAAATGAAACAGACAATGAACTGTTTAAAGTAGCTGGACTTTTTCACAGGGAAGTGGACAGAAAGTGAACAAATGTTGAATAAAAAACAATGCAGTTCCTTAGGAGCAGAAAACACACTGCCTTTGTAGTGGAATTTTCACCTCCAAAGAAAGATGGCTGAAGTTATCCAGAGTTAAAAAGAGGGATCAAGCTTTTTCCCAGCCAAACTCAACATCCTTTATCTGTTTAGTGAGTTGAGACTATTGAGAACATACAGCTTCACCTGCAGCAGCAGATATTCTGGGAACTGCAGTTTTTAGCAGTGAAAATAAAATAAAAACAGATCGCAAGAGAAAGTGTTTAATGGAGAAAGAGAAAAACAAAGAAAGAAAGATAGTTGGGGTTTTTCTTTCAAAAGTGATCCAATACTCATTTTAGTCTGAACATTTTCACCAGGCTCTGTTCATTCCCTTTGAACTCTGTGGGTTGGGAACATCTGTCAGTCTGGATCTGTGAGGTGCCCAGTATTTTTCAAATACTGCTTGACAAATAAATAAATATTCAGCCTCAAATATCTGTATTAAAAAACCCAAATCTTATTTTTCAAGTTTCTTCCTTATAGCTTGCTATAAAGCATCATCAATTTTTTAATGTTTATTATTTTTATTACTGTAGTGCAAAATTAGACAATGGACAACGACTGTTACTAAAATTCTTAAAGACATACATCTCTCACCTTTCTAAAGCTTTCCATGATCCTAACTGAGAAGACCTGTAACTCTGTGGTTCTTAATTTTCTCAAGAACCTCAAATTGCTGAAGTGACTCACACAAATAAACATTGGAAATGGACCCACTGAAAGAGAGGTACATTTCAAGCAAGGAAACTGAAGGCTCTGTTCTGCAATAACACACTCAGGCAAGGGCTCGTCTATCCCTGCTGAAGTCAAAGGTAATGTTTGCCTTCAAGCCAAAACTTTTGTTTTGAATTTTCACAATTCACACTGAAGCCTCTAAAAGAGTAAAAACTGGGAATAGTCTTTGTTGAAAAATAACAGGACTGATTATATCACTTCTAGGAATAGGTTTGAAAACACATACCACGTGGGCTGAGTGGGCATAAGCAAAGGTGAAAATACGTGCCCTTTTGAAAGCAATGAGATGTTTTTCAGCAGCGGGCAGGCAAGGAACATTGAGACAGATTTAAGAACACTATCACTGGGACTGTCATGAGCATGTTTTAAAACTTTCTTTCAGCCAATTCCAAAATATGTTTTCAAAACACATGAAGCCACCTATCACTCCTGCGAAATTCAAAAGCACTGCTGTATCGATTTCAGGGCTTTAGCCTCATCGGCCACCCAGGAGGGGCTTTCTCTCTCGGCTTTACCTGAGACCCCTCTCGCCCCGTCAAGAGTTGCCCTGAGAATGCCCGCGGCTGCTCTGAGGAATCCCCGCCGCCCCGGCTGGGATGCCCTAGCTGGGACACCCCGGGGGAGGCTGGGCGGCGGGAGGGACGCCCCGGGGGGAGCGGCGGGGCCAGGCGATGGCAGGACTTCTCAGCAAACGCCTCTGCTGCCGCGGTGCGGAGGGGTTTGCCAGGCTCCTACCTGGTAGGCGTCGGGAATGTTGACTGTCTCTCCGTGCTCCGCCACGTAGCCGATGATGCCCTTACCCCAGGGCACCTGCACCTCGTTGCTGTTCTCGGTGGAGCCGCAGGGCAGCAACGGGGTGCCAGCATGCACGTCGAAAAACTTGGAGACCAGGCTCTTCTTCCCGGCAGCGGCCCCTTCCACAAGGAAGAGGGAGCCCCGGTCCGCGTCCACCATCAGGCAGACGAAGATGAGGATCTTGTAGCTGAGGCTGGTGAGGTCCAGGTCATTGGAGATGTCCTTGACCAGCTCCAGGAAGAACTGGCGCTCGTTGTGCTCCTTGAGGTAGCGCTTGTAGTCCAGGGCGGTGGGGGGATACTGGGGCAGGCTGACGCGGGACTCCAGCAGGGCGCTGAGGATGTGGGCGGTGGTGGGGGGCAAGGAGCTGGCCTTCCGCAGCAGCGCCCGCCGCCGCACGCTGCTCAGCGGCTCCTGCGCCCGGCCGTGCACATGCTCGTCGTAGGTGAGGTTGACGTGGATGGCCTTGGAGCGGGCGAAGCTCTTCCGCAGCTCCTTCTGGGACGCTCGGCGCTGCAGTCCCCCGCCGCCGGGGCCGGGGCCGCCGGGGCCGCCCGCGCTACCCCAGCCGCCGCCGGGGCCGTCGCTGCTCCGTCGATCCTCCGACGGGCCGGCAGTGGGAGCAGTGGGTTGGGTAGGCGCTCCAGGGAGCGAGTTCTTCCTCTTCAGCCACTTCTCCACCAGCTCCGGGTGTCTCTCTAAGAAACTTTCCACGGCCGCCACGTCGAGGCCGGCATCGCCGGCGGTGGCCATGGTGCCGGCGGCGGGGGCGGCTCAGGCCATGCCTCCCCGTCACCACGTGCTGCTGCCGCCCCGACGGCCGCCCCGGGGCACGGGGGCACTGCTGGCAGCCCCGGCGAGGGGCCTCTCCTGCCCCTTGCCCGGGCCCTTGCGAGGGGCCGCGCCTTCTTCTTGCCACCTACTTTCCCCCCGCGACCTCCTTTTCCTGCCCACCACTTTTTATTAGTAGTATTATTATTCGTATTTTTCTAGGTATTTTTTCTGCTTCCTGGATTTAAGCCCTTCTCCGGCTCTGGCCCCGGTTCCCCAGTTTCGGGCCGCTCCCCTGATGAGTCGGGCAGGCGCTGCCGCCGCTCTTCTGGAGATGCTCCGGGAGCGCTCGGGCAAACCCCTTCTGCCAAGTGCTGTCAGTGCTGGCGGCGGCTGCTGCGTAAGCCAGCCGGCAGACCACTGAGAAGGAGGGAGGGGAGGACGCGTGAGCCGAGCGGGGGGGCAGGCGGGGGGAGGGAGGGCTGGCAAGCCCCGCTGCGGGTACCAGGGGGTATCGCCGCCCGCCTGGCCACAGCCGCCTCGGCGGAGCGGGCGGGGCGCGGAGGGTCCCGCGGCAGGAGGACCCCCGGCAATGGGGAGCTGCGTTAGGGAGCTTCATTCAACAACATCGGGGGGAGAGGGAGGGGCCTTTTGTCTGTGATGCGTGTTTGGGGAAGAGACGAACCGGGCCGCGGGCCGCGGGAAAGGCGGCGGGAGGTAATGCGAGCGCTCCCATTAAAGAGATTTTATTTATAGCATTATCTGAGGTGATTCAGTACTTCAGGAGACAGGCGGAAAAACGGAGCCCTTTCAAGAATTCCGAGTGAATTCCGTTTCTTGAACCTCTGAGTTGATTTGCCTACAGCCTCACCCGTGCGGAGACCCAGCTCTGCCTGGTGCGCACCGCACCCGCACCCGCACCCGCGGTGTTCGGGCAGCACAGCGGGCTCTGCCCGCCAGGAGCTGCCCCGGGCTTTCTGCCGAAAGCCACTTTTCCGCAGGGCTGCCCGGCGGGAGCGGGCCCGCCGAGGCGCTCCTGGGTGCCCGCTCCGGCATCACCGACTGCCAGACGGAATCCGACCGCATCCATCGCCGGCAGACGGACCGGGGTTATTTTTATGCGCACGTGGAGCACGTTTCATTGCTAAATCAAAGCCTACGCATAAGCGATTGAAAAAAACAAGAGTCATGTATCTTAACACGTGAAAAATGTCTTTCATGCGCTCACCAAAGACTGAATGAAGGCTGCTTCAGAAATTCATGAATGGAAGTTTGGGTGGCTGGGAAAACACACGGGCAAATCTTCAACCAAACGGGATTCCGACCTGCCGAGGACCCTGTCCCTGCAGCAGCCCCTTACGGCGCGGGTCCGGGCAGTGCAAGGAGAGAGAGCGCTTTTGGGACATGTGTGGGTAGCTCAGGGGGTTGCGCGGGTGTCAGCCGGAGGAGAAAGGGCTACGTGTGTGTCCCGAAGGATTGCCGTGTTTCCCGCAGCAGTAGGGGATGAGAAGGGACTCCGTGCAGGTGCTGCGGCTTCCGCAGCTCGGAGACTGCTTAGCCACAGACAAAGGATTTAGGCTCCCAGTCTCGGTGCCTGCACTGTTGCAGGTTGAGCAGCCGTCCCCTCGCTGCCGCCGGTCCCGGGCCGCTGTGGCGGCAGGGCTCCGTGCCTGCCCCCCGCCCTCGTCGGGGTTCTGTGCAACACTCCGTCTCTCCCCGGCGAACAGGGATGCTGCCGCAGGAGGACGGGCTCTCCATTGAGAAACCCCGCCGCCCACGGCACTCCCTCGGCAATGGGGCAGGCGCGCCCGGCTGCAGAACCCGCGGCGAGCGGGTTGCGGGAGGAGCGGCGTGCGGGGCGAGGGGCGGCAAGCGCGGGGGTCGGGGGACACGCCGTAGGGGGTCGTCCCCGAGCTGCTCGCACCTCTAATGAAGCTCTTTCTATGCAGGCAGCTTGTGTATGAAATGGCAGCGCATCTCGGAGAGGGCAAGGGCGGCTGGAACTGTTGTTGAAGCGTTTCCGAGCGCGCTGCCGACGCGCCGCCGGAGCGGTGACGCAAAGGGGTTTCACAGGCGGCAGCGGGCGCAGCCCTCCAGACTGCGCCGCGACTGTCACATCGTCGGCGGAGGCCCCGCTTTCGGGCGGACGCAGCCGAGGGGCCGCCCTGGCCCCCCGTGCTGCCGGGGCTGCCGCTGAGCCGTCCCCGCCAAGGGCGTCGCTGCCACACGCCCCGAACTGCATTTGCGGTTTTGCAGCGCTGGCACAAACGCTCCTCTAACACAAAGAAATCGCATGAGCTGCTGGAGGTCAGTAGTCTGGCGCGTACCCCCAGCTCTCAAGCAAGGATCTTGGCTGCGAAATAATTGTATGGAAGTAATTTTTACCATCTCACTGCAGTAAGGTTTGGTCTGTGCACTCATACCAGTGTTTACTACGAGATGATTACTGTGTAGCAGTTCTGTATGTAAGCACTTAAAGTGTTACAGGAACACTGTAAGCCTAGGTATAAACAATGTCTTCCCTTACCGTTTCTTCAAGGTCTTACGGCATCTTTATTTTATTTTATGGGACTTTATGCATGGGATTGATTACATGTAAAATCTGCATATTGATAATCTCTCAAATCGCAGAATCAAGACTGTAGAAAGTAAAACTGCAGTTGTCTCCATTGCATAAAATATATAGTGAACTCTTTACTGTAACAACTTAATCGTAAAGAAGTCTGCAACCTCAAATCTGTGTATAAACTAGAAGCTTCTCTTCAGGATGAAATGTGACAAAGATGTTCACAGTGGCTTGACTGTTCTATAACTTGCACAGGCTTGGGACACGGTGTCAGGATAAAACCTGATTCAGAAGCCGAGCCAAGTGTGCTGTGCATTGGTGGATGTTAGGAGAAAACTGGGATCTGTCTGGCACACATCAAACTATACCTCTGTTTGTATGGTGAGTAAAAAGCACACTGTATACTGGGCTGCAGCTTCTAAAGCTAAAGACTTAGTTTAAGCCTTTTATGGGAGGGCCAAAAAGAAAAACGGGTTTGTTAATGCCATGAGATTGTGCTGCCTTCATAATTCTACAAGTATGCTATACTGAGCTAAAGGCAGCTTACATCTGATGCATCTTACATATGATACACCTTTAGTCATCAGGGATGCACAATGCCAGCTCAAGAGAGCAAGAGAGGCTTTAGCCAGTCTCACTTGGTTTCCTTGGGTACAGGCATACAGAGGTGCCCTAAAAGAATCACAAGCAGAAATCTCAGGCAGAGCATGTTTCTCTGTCCAGAAGGGCAGTGACATAGTGCTCCTCAAAATGAAATTGAGAAAAGCACTTGAGAAAATTTTTGTTATTCAGGCAGATGCTTTAATTGTCTAAACAGTCAATAGAAGAGATCCTGACAGTTACACTGAAAGGGGGAACTATCTCACAACTACAGCACAAAGAAAAAAGAAGCAGGTGCTCACCCTGTTGTGTCAGAGAACTTGTTACCTGACTCTTACTTATTCCCTTCCTTCAAACCATCAGTTCAGCTCTATGGAGTGCGTAAGACAACCAGTTAAAGCCCCTGGTGGATAAGCATTGCAGCAGTACTGATAAAATGAGCACCTGGGAATAGAAAGTGTAGCTTTACCTAGCCACACCAACTGAGTAATAGTTTCAGCGGGTGTTTGAATAACTAGTTGCAGAATCAGGCTCTCACATACCTTTAGAGAAAGGAACAGTATTTCTTTAGAACCCTCTAATTCTATAGATCTCTCTATATGAAATGTATAACACCGTATAAATAATGCCCACCTCACAATGTTACTAGGACACATCTTAAAACATATCCTTATTTGATTTTGCTAAGGCCAGACCCTAAGGACTAATTAACATCAAAATACTAAAACTTGATATAGGAGCTAGTCAAAATTAAAAACATCTTTCACTAACATTGCAGCTGCTGAAGCAATGTTCAATGAAGTTGCTTTTTTCAGGTATGCAAATAACATCAGCTTTCATTCTGCTTTTTAATTGCAGCAAGAATAATTTTTAAACCAGGAGAGTATTTCTTAGGGTTTTCTAAATACTCTTGTCAGTGTATTCTCACTCCAAACAACTAATGAAAACCAAAAAATATACTAATGGCACAACATCGTATATTTATGAAAATATCAATGGTTTCGAATCAAAGATGTGATGCTCCTGAATGTCGTCCATGTAGAATCCAAGAGAATGTGAGCATAAATGATAAATGATAATATAAAATGCACAAGGTATACATTGTCTTTGTGTCACTTTATTAAGTAAAATATAAATCCTTTTTGCATCATGGAAGGTTGCAGTTCTTTGCACTGTTTCACATATAACTACTTACTACTTTTAGAGTAATCTTTGTAATTCCAGTATCTAGAGGATCCAATTTTATTTTCCTTCAGTTTTTGAAGATGAGCATCTGCAGATTGACATGAAATTCGTCAAGGCTGTGCTCCATTGAGGGGCGTTAGAAAAAGGGTTGTCAATGGCCAGTTCCTGGAATCTCTTGACAAGTTGAAAAACCATTAGTGTTTCCTTCCAAACCTGCTAAAACCTGTCTCTGTCAACAGAAGCCTACTGTTGTGCTCAAACCTACTGCAATACCTATAATGATGTGTCCACGGTTTTCTTCTGTCCTCCAGACTTACTTCCCATCATCTAACGTGGATTTAGATATTGCTTTGTTTACTTTCTTTTAAAAAATTGTACTAACAACGTATGATTTTTTCCACACAATTTTAATGGGAAAAAATAGTCAATATGTGCTGACAATGTTTTGTATGAACGAAGTCCCAGTATAAAGTGAACGTCACAAAATTTTTCATAGAAATCATAGAAAAATAAACAAGTCAGCCAATTCTAAAGCACTTTAGTAACCAGAAAAAACCCAAGACTGTATTCGTAATTAATAGTTTGATTCAAATAATATAATTTATAATAAAATAATATAAATAAAACAATGAAACCCACATAGAATACTATCCCCTGGGGATGTTCCACTGCTTTTTAAGACTGACTGTATGGAAAACACAAGAAAAACCAAAAGTCATAGCATACTAGTAGGAGACGGTATTTAGTCAAGCAAAACAATTGTAACACACCATGGTGCCAGTAGAGGGTAGTGACCAGCAAACGAAATTTAAAAACACTCCAGGAACAGAAATTAAAATCTGGCCATTGGTACTAGGAGGTTCTGGGAAAGCTACAAACCTTCTAATTTGGTGTACTGAGTATTGGAAATTTTACCAGTATTTTAATACAGGGAACAAGGATTTTTGTTTTTGAAGCTGTAGCTCAAATTTGCCTGCAGTAATGCAAAGTAGACAGTTGTGAGAGTAACTCCTTGTGAGTAAGGCTTTCTATTATACCTCTAAAGAAAAAGGTATTTGGCATATATATCCCCTCCAACACTGCAGCTTATCCCTGCCACATGTTAGTTTTGCCTTTGTTTTTGTTTGCATCTAAGTAAGAAAATACTGCAGCTTGTCCTGTTCTACAGCCAAATAAACCCCAAAGATTTGGTCCTGTCTTGTGCTTTCCATCTTTTTCAACAGTGGGGCACTGAGAACATTTCATGGAGAAAGATCTCACGTTTTTCAACATCACCCATTTTGATCTATGGAAAAAATCTAAAATGTTGGTCAAAGTTATCATGTTCTTCCTCTTGAAAACTACATCTGCTTACATAAAAGGGGCATTTCTGCATATTTAATTTGCTTGTGAAAAAGAATGCGTGCAGCCCGCTCCCCTGATTTCTTCTTTTAACTTCATTTTGCACCAGGAGACATTTGTCCATTACGATCCCAGTAAGAATGGAGTCACACTCTGTAAAGTATCTTCTATAATGCTGTTTATTTACAATGCTAACACAATAAAAAGTATAATCTTACATCCCTTTAGATGGTGGAAGGCCCAGGTGGCATAGCACCGAGGGAGCCTCTGGCTCACACACAGCATGCTATGCAGACCACCTTCATAGTAGAGACCCTCCCTTGTGGTGTTTCGAGCTTTCTAGGATTTTGTAACATGGAAACAACTCTGCCATTTCTGCAGTCAAACCAGAAATGATGCTCTCAGGAATCCTTGCTGTGCTGTTAGATAAGGGCAAGGCCAGGCAGCAGGTGTAATCGTCAGTACCAAGCAGGGGCTGCCCACGGGCTCCTTTTGTAAGCATGAGCCAGCTGACTGAGCTTAGCCCTCTCATCCCTGGCTGAGGCCTGTGTGCTGCACAATATGGCCTGAAGGCCAGGCTGTACCTGCAGGCATGGCCCAGCACAGCCCTAGCCTGTGCTTGCCTGGGGTGACTGTGCCGTGGGTCACTGACCCCTCAGTGTGCAGTGGTTGGCATCACTACAATCCTAGGGCACTGACAACTCCTTTAGGAGGAATTCCTTTTTTTTTTTTTTTTTTGGGATCCAAATATGTAAGATCTAATGAGCCTTATAAGAACATTGCATTCTTCACAATTAATTGGCTGTGTGCTTATTTTCCTACAGATAGCTATATTTCCTGGATATTTTTTGTGTTTGTTTCCCATGAAATGTGTAAAGTTCCCTGGTGTTCTTTATCCTGAGCATTCACAAGAAGCCCTGCTGTTGCCTATATCAGCAAAGGCCTTGAAAATAGTTTCTTCACAGAGGAACTCTCTCTTTGTGACACTAGTGTTGTTTCAAAGGAGGTGAGTATTTAGTTGAAGGACACCCTGTAAAGATAAACAAATAATTTCAGCAGAAGTGATTATGTTAGGAAAATACTGACAGAGGGTACAAACCTGGGAGGAGTGGTCAATATATCAGGTTCCTACCAGATGCCATTCATACAAACCTGACAGACTGGAGATGGTCTGACAGGAGCACCAAGAAGTGCAAGACTCTTGCACCAGAGGAAGAACAACTGCATGCCCCAGAGCCTGAGGAGGGAGGTGACTGGTTGGTTGAAAGTAGTTTTGCAGAAAGGACTTGTGGTGGACACCAAGGTCAACATGAGCAGCAATGTGCAGCAAAGAGGTGACCAGTATCCTGGGCTGCATTAGGAGCGCTACCAGCAGGACAAGGGACATGACCCTTCCTCTCTACTCAGGACTGCTGAGGCACCTTAAGACATACTGGAGAGAGTGCAGTGAAGGGCCACAAAAGGGAGTAAGAGACTGGAGCCTCCCTTACATTAAGAAAGGCTGAGAGCTGGGACTACATAGTCCAGAGAAGCAAAGGCTCAGGGTGGATGTTATTATATATAATAAATAGCCTAAGGGAGAGAATGAAGGATCGAGACTCTTCCCAGCAGTGCCCAGTGACAGAACCAGAGGCAATGGGCACCCACTGAAACACAGGGGCTTCCCTCTGAACATCAGGAAACACATTTTTTACAGTGAGGGCAACCGAGCACTGGCACAGGCTGCCCAGAGTTGATGTGGAGTCTCCATCCCTTAACACACTGCAAAGCGGCGAGGACCCGGCGCGGAGCCGCCGCTCAGCAACGGGGCCGGCCCTCGTTAAACGGGCCCGGCCCTCGGTGATGGAGCCGCCCGTCGGTAACGCGGCCGAGCCCCGCGGAGCCGCAGCTGAGCCCCGGCTGCGGGCCGGGAGGCGGGAGGGGCGCGGCTGGAGCGCAGGAAGCGGCAGCGGAAGGGGAGGGCGCGGTGTGTCCCCGGCGGAAAGGGCGCCGCGGAGCTTCCCTGCCGGCCCCCGCGGCACGGCCGCCATGGAGGAGAGCAGCGGCGCCCGCCTCTCGGCTGAGTGCCTGGACGAGCCGCCCAACAGCCGCATCTTCGTGGTGCTGGGCAAGGACACCGAGGAGTCGCTGATCCGGGAGCGCTTCTCCCCCTTCGGGGACATCCAGAACATCTGGCTCCTGCGGGACAGGCGCACCAATGAGTCCCGCGGCATCGCCTTCATCAAGTTCGCCCGCAGCTCGCAGGCCTGCCGGGCCATGGAGGAGATGCACGGCCGCAGCCTGCTCCCCGACACCAAGCCCATCAAGGTGCCTGCCGGGGAGCGGGGCCGGGGGCTGTGGGGCGGGCGGTGTCAGGGTCTGTGCTGCCCGCACGGCCGGGCTGGCGCTGGGGCCGCTCCTGTCCCAGCGCACCTGGCGGAGCGGCTGCGGGCGGCCCCAGCCCTACCTGAAGCTCCCACGTGTGGCCTGAGCTGTGACAGGCCGGGGGGAAATGCTCTACCTGGAGACTACGGTGTCTTTCCTTGGGGCTACGTTTTGAATTTTCAAGGAATCTCTGTGACAAAGGTTCTTAAACAGCATATTCTAAGTGTTGTAAGCAAGATAGACGTCAGTAAATAGAGCTGACTTTGCAAGTGTGTTTCATATTGGTTTTGTAGCTCGTGAAAACTTTTTTCAAAACTTTTTCTTTTTTTTTTAAATCTATGGAATTGGCTGTCAGCTTTCAGCCTCCTGTTTTCGTTTGAAAATGCAATTGAGTCAGTAAAATCTTTTCTGAAGAATTTGCCATCAGAAGCCAAAAGATCAGAGTTCTATTCCTCCCCTGCATGACTACTAAAAACATAAATTAAGAGCTCCGTGAAATCAGTTGCTACTTTTGTATAAGAAGGTTACTTATTAAATAGTTTGTGTTTTTCTTACTTGGTTGTTTTGGGTTTGTTTCTTTGTTTGTTTTTATTTGTGGTTTGGTTGCTTTTTCTCTTGTTGTCTTCTGATGTGCACTTCTGAGATGAAGTTTATTTCAGTAATTAAAAGAGATTTTAACAGTAACAGATGTGAGGAGTTATGATCCTTCATAGAGCACTAGACCTGCAAAATTCAGCCCAGCTGAGCAGTGAACTGCAGTAGCAAGGTTTTAATAAGCTGTTAGGCCTTTTTGTTTGTTTGCTTGCATATTTGTTTTTACTACTGCTATACTAGGCCTGTTACAGTAATGCATTCTTTGCTACCTCTCCCATGTCACTGGTGATATTAGGAATGCTGCTGAATCAGCAGCAGTATTCCTCACCGTTGTTCCTTATCCCCGGTGAGACTTTCTGCTGGCCTCTGTCCTGCTTGGGAGACCATTTGGGGTGAATTGTATTTGTAGATCTTTTGTCACAAGTGGTCACAGCTGTTCTTTTTTTCGCGTTAGGAAAGTTAGTTTATGCGAACAATAAATACAAAGGCTGTTAAAACCTTTTTCTTGGTTGTTGATACATGTTTAAGACCTGTTGCTGGTAATTAGTGTCTATGTAATTATTTCATTAGGTATTTATTGCACAATCAAGAGCTTCTGGAAGCCACCGAGATGTTGAAGATGAGGAGCTTACACGAATCTTTGTTATGATACCAAAATCCTATACAGAGGAAGATCTGAGAGAGAAGTTTAAGGTACTGATTTGCTATTTGATAATTGTTATTTTAAATGCTTTTGTCTTAATTATCAAAAGGGTTGCATGCACAAAAGCACATGGAACTTTTATGCATTTTCAAATATTGGAAATTAATATGCTTTTTAATTGTTCTAGATGTATGGAGACATTGAATATTGCAGCATTATTAAAAACAAGACTACTGGAGAAAGTAAAGGTTTGGGCTATGTGAGATATCTAAAACCATCACAAGCTGCCCGAGCAATTGAAGAGTGTGATCGAAGTAAGAATCTGACTGAATTCTTTGACCCTTTTTTGCTATAAATGTGTATCATCATTAATGTACCTTTTATTTTTAGTTATGTTTTCAGTTAAATTATTTGTGATGTAAAAACATCTTGAGACAAAGTTCTTTTGCAAATAAATAATAGCATTGTTAGCATTCAGTGAGAACAGTCACCTGATTACATTCTTTCAAGACCAGGAGAAGAAAGGCTTTTGGAGAAACCTAACAGCAGCCTTCCAGTCCAACCTCCTGTTCAACATTGCATATTCACAAATAGGAAAGAACTTAGTGTGTGGACATGGTTGCTTGTTGTTCTTACTTCTTTTCGTGTCTATTTCTTGGGTTTCTTTCCTCCCTTAATATCCATGGTGGTTCTGCATGATGTGGTTCTACAAAAATGATACTTGTGCATAGGAATATGAGCCTGAGATTACTTGGCAGTAAAATTGTATTCCCTTTTTGCTATGAGGTTAAAATGAAATCAATTGGATAGCTTGAGTATAATACCCATTTCTTTCATAAAAGCAAAACCTAGATCAGTGCAAAACACACATAAACTGCTGTTTTAGCACAGAAGTTCAGGTGATTGCTTCTGGAGCATCTCAGAATCCTGCTAAGTGTCACAGAATGGTTGAAGTTGGAAGAGACCTCCAGAGGTCATCTTGCTTGAGCAGGGTCACCTTGGCACTGTGATTGCTCAGGACCATGTCCAGGTGGCTTTTGAATATCCCTAAGCATGGAGACTCCAAAGCCTTTGTGGCAAACTGTACCAGTGCTCAGTCATTCTCAAGGCAAGTAGATTGTTGTGCTTAACTTGTGAGTAGGAGTAGTTCTGTGTGGAAGCTGTTAGCTTTCACAAAATTACTATGGCAGTCTTCAAGAGTTATAGATTAGTTATTTCACTACAGCCAGTGCTTACCTGTCTTGCTGAATAATATGTTTTTAAATATGGTACTTGGAGAATGTGGGTCTGATCAGATAATCGAGATGTGCTGAGGTGTTGCTGTATTGTTTCTTTCAGGCTTCAGGGCCATTTTGGCTGAACCTAAAAATAAGTCATCTGAGTCTTTTGAACATGACTATTATAGTAATAACACAAGGCAAGAACCAAGAGGAAATACACTTCCATTTTGTAAGTCACAGCTTTTGGTATTAAAAATGATTTGTAGTCTCAAGTATGGTCACTAAGTTAGAATGTGGTTTGGAAGAAGGGAAGCTAATGGAGTCTCAGGCCAACACTTTAGTAGATTGGATGTTGAAGTTAGAAACTAGCCAGGCATATCATCTCTATATTTTTATGGTTTGCTTTGCTCTGGTTGGCCAATTATTTTGCGATTTCCATTGCTGAAATTGAACACATTACCATAAGTATATAATTGACTTGGATCGCTTTTAAAAGTTTTGAATGCAACATATGCATGAAATGAAGGCATGCTGGTGTGATGAGTCAAATTATTTTGTTGATTTTTGAGGTATGCAGCCAGAATTTTGTAGTTTTGAAAAAAATGAGTGCAGAATTCAAGAATCAGTCTCCAAACGTCTGTCAGTGGTGTCACGGCTTCCCTTTATTCAAGAGCAGCTGTTCGCCCTCTTTGATTTAGTTCCAGGACTGGAATATTGTGATGTTCAGCGAGATCCTTATACCAATAGTGGTAAGTATAAGTACAGAAAAGGTTTTTTTTCTTATATCTGTAAAGGAAATCCCTTGTAATTTTACTTCAATTAATTTGTATTGCAAAATACAGTACACTTGTTGGAAAGAGTCAGTGGTTGTTGCTGTCACTGCGTAAACCCAAATGTTCAGTTTTGCTTGAACCCCTGTTTACAGGTAGCCATAAATACTTTTACTTTCAGGTAATAAAATCTCAAGAAGGATGGAATCAAAGTCATGATAAGTGGTTTTGGTCAAATTAATAGTTTTAGGTAGAATTAATGAAGGAAAAGTTTTATCAATTATTGGACATCTAGTTAAAATGTTCTCTAAACAAATCTTTCGAGTTTTCATCTTGAAATGGGCATGGGTGTGTGTGTGTCTGTAGAAGCTGACATGAGTAAATGGGATTAAATAATTCCAAAACAGATCATGTTTTCTAGTAAAAAGATGTTTTGGTTTCAGTCTCATTTTGCTGCTGCTGAGACAAGTGTGGAAGTGGTCTCTTCTCCAAGAAGCTTGAAATGATTCAGAGAGCTAAAATATAACTTTACAGTTCTTGAGATTCACTGTTAATGGCATAGTTGCATTTTTAAATGAAAATATGTATCCTTTTGTTACTCATTCTGGATTAGTGAAGACGACGTGTTTTCACTTGTGTGGTTTTATTGCCAGCTTTTCAAGGTAGCATAAATACAGCTCATCTGTCACTAGTTAATTCCACTGAAGTTTTTCTACAAATACTACTGGTTAAGTAATGTGATGTATGGTAAGAAGACTTAAGAATTTTGTGTTATCCATGACTGATGTGCAGTTTAATCCTATTGTTCTATATGGGTGTGGTTTGTTCTTAGGATTTAGCCATCTCACACTGAAACTGTGCATTGTATTTGCAGGCTACGCTGTGATTCAGTACAGCACTGCTGCGTCAGCTATATATGCCAAGTACAAATTACATGGGTTTGAGTACCCTCCTGGAAATCGATTAACAGTCATTTTCCTAGAAGATGGAAGTGATAGTTCAGAGTAAGTACTAATACACTGAGACAAAAAGTTGTAAATTGTGTTCTGGAGAGCAACATGTAAAATAAATACTTTTTTAACATAAGAAGTAGCACCAATGTCACTCTGAGCTTGTTCCATACTCATAGATAGTATTTCTGTAATTGAGGTGTTTGGTTTGGGGTTTTCTTTTTGAATGGTTTGGAATAAGCCTTTTAAAACTTACTAGTTTTTGATCAAGAGAAGATTAAAATATATATTCTTAAGATATTATGGAAAAATCTTGGATTTACAAGAATCTTCGTCAGTATATTTGTAATATATAACAAGGGCTGCAATGTGTTTCTGATATCTTGGTTGTTTGCAGTAGGGCAAGTAGTAACCTTGTGAAGCACATATGTAGAATAAAGCTGCTGGCGATGAGGATCTGATATCCTCACGGTATGGGGAATCATCAGGTGTTCCACTCTCTCTAACTCATCCCTGTCATTTGAATGCCCATTACAAGTTGGAGGGGCTTAGGTACTCTCCTGCTCTGAAAATTTTGGCTTTAGTTTCATACTAAAGGAATGTAGTTCACCTCAAACCTATTCTGGGAAATGAATGGGGACAGTAAGGAGGGACAATGGGGAGACTCACTTCAGAAGTGCATGCCTGACCCAAACTAGAAAAAATGCTGATTGCAACCTTCATTCTTCAAAAATTCTTGCACCATTGTCTTACAACTCAGGCTGTGACTCTATGCAAAACGTGCAATTGCTTTTTCTTATTCTGCAACAGAACAAAGTAAAATCACTGGAAAATGGGAGCTGGAAGTAAACTTTCTGTAATAATAATTTTGTCTTCTGAACTGAATCTTAGTGCTCTTTACTGAAATAGGTGAAATTTTTCTGTCCCTTTTGCTTTTTAGGCACCTCTCACAAAATATAGGGGGCTCTTGTAGAGATAATTTTATGTTTTATACCCTTAGAGTATTAAAAAAAGCAAAGGGTAGTTTTGTATCTCTCTATATAGTGATGTATTAGTGTTTTCAGTGAGTTCCAGCTAGCATGCATACTTTCAGATCATGTCTATAGAGTGTCATGAAAGTTCAGCTTGATTTTCATTATTTACGTGATGTTACAGATTTCCAGAGATACTCTTTGGTGTGCACTGAAACTTTTCTCTTGCTGAATTTAGGATTAACTTAGCTCTTTCTTTAAACTATTTTATTATCACTTCTGCTTGCAGCCTCATCAGAAAAATGGCAACACAGCTGGTAACAGCACAGGTGTCATCAGCGTTGCGCAGTAACAATGCGATTGTTCAGCAGTATAGGACACCTCCTGTAAGTTCATATAAGGCACAGTGTTAGTATTCTTCTGAATTGTTGTAAGAAACTTCAGATACGTCAATAAAGAACACTGCTTACTTTCTTCTGTAACTGTTTTAGATGCTGCACTTTTTAAGATGTACCCCTGTAAAGGTGTCTGAGCTTACTTGGATTTATTGTCCAATGTAACAAAATAACCAAAATAAATAAAGTAATGAAGATTAGAACTTGTAGAGGTTGTTTATGTCCTGTGATGAGAACAAAAATTGTAAGTAAGGTAAAATTACTTTTTCCACCCTCTGCCATCAGTTAATTTATACTTGTGGTTTTTTTTCTCCTGTTTCAGCCAGCGTTTGGAGGAACTTCAGGCCCACAGTTACTTCAGCCCCAAACAGATGCCATACTGCCACCACCCAAAAAAAAAGCTCCACCTGACACTGCTGTGAAGGAAAGGCTTTTCATACTATTTCATCCCCATCCTTTACCTGTAAACATATTGGAAGATGTGTTCTGGTAAGCCTCCATTTACAAATAAGGGCTTCCTAACAAAAAGAAAACAAACTATGAAATATTTAAAATAAATGTTGAAAATAAAAAAGATTATCGTAAAAATGCTTTCCAAAAAGGGCAGTGTGCAGTGGTAAGTATAAGTGAACAGTAAGTAACAGTTGCTTTTTGAAACTAGTGTGTAATAAAATTCACATTGAAGCATAGATGCAGTGTCAGCAGTATAGCAGCTTTATTATCAATTAACTTAATCTAAAGTAAAATGTCTAGTCTTCTAATGCTTATTTTTAACCAAAAAATGTAGTACTTCCAGTCCTTCCTAATTTATTTTGCATTTTCTTTTACATGTTTCTGTAATATATTTAAGTATTTTGATAAATTTCCACAGTAACTTAGGTAAGTAAGTATAAGGGGTTATATATCATATATATGTTATATATCATATATCATAATGGTTTGCATTTTACTGACACTATTTCAGCTGTTCTTTCATACAGCCTCCTTCTGAGGAGCGAAGACTTGAGACAATTTTTGCCATCTCTAAAACAAATCTGGAGTTAACTCCAGTGTTTTCTATTATTTGTTTGTAGTGTACTCTTGAGGAGAAAGACGTTTCCCTTTTCTAATAGCTTGCATTTCAATAAATCTTTGGAAAGCCAAACTACGTTCAAAGCACCAGGAGAGGAAAAGAAATAATATGCACATAATGTGGAATTTAAATCCGTACCTATTTGATATAATGGATTTTCTTAATCAGATGCTGGAGAAGGAAAAGGCTATGTATACATTTGTATAACTTCAGTATGAAGTAAGCAGACTATTTTTCAGAAACATATTTCAAGGAACTTTCTAGGAATCTCCTGAGGACTTTGGAAATCTGTGTTTTCCCTAAAGCCTTTGTACTTGCTTTCTGAGTCATTTCAGTGAGACCTTTTCAAAGATGAATCACAACTGAGCAAGTTCATTTAAGTGAGATGTGGGTTTAGCTTCTAAATTATCTGCTGGTTTGTGCGTGTATGTCTTATTTTTGGTTTGTTTGGTTTTCTTTTTGTTTTGTTTTGGGTTTTTTTTGGGGGTGTTTTGAGTGCCATGGAGTGTTTGGGGACTATAGTATTGATTAGCTTTACATATTCTTTTAAATAAGAGAGAAACCACTGGTGTTTGTGGTTCTATCATCATTTTCTGTAGAAAACATAGTCTATGAACTTCTGGTATTATTTCTGTTCCTGCTCATAATTCAAGAGAAGGGAATATGAAAATTGTGAGTTTTAGAAGAGGCCAGCAGAAGAAAACATAGCGTGCATATCAGAACACAGTTTTTGCAGTTAACAAATCATATATACTTCAGATAGGATATGTTGCAGGAAAACCTGTGAAATCTTGTTTTTTCCCTCCCTCTGCCAGTCGTTTTGGACAATTGATACAAGTTTACCTCGTGGCTGGAAAAAATGTGGGCTATGCAAAATTTGCAGACAGAGCAAGTGCCAGCGAGGCCATAACTGTGTTACATGGCAAGATTGTGAATGGTGTCAGGCTTAAGGTGAGGTTGGCAGACTCGCCCTCGGAGGAGCCCAACAAGCGCCAGAGAACTTACTGAGCAGGTGAGTACCCAGTCTGAGCTGTTACTTTACACTGAAGTTCAGCTACTTGAAATAGCGATAGGCTAAGTATATTTAAAGTTAGATACAAACATGTAATGATAAACTTTAAACCTATTCTTAGCTGACAACTTGAAATACAGTTTGTGGTATGTCTGTTTGTGTGTGTGTGTATATATATATATATAAAATTCATTTTTGCTAACTAAAGTGCATGTGTGCCTATATAAGCATACACACCCCCATATGGGGGTGTGTATGCTTATATAGGCACACATGCACTTTAGTTAGCAACAATGAATTTTTATAATTCTTGGAAAAATACGAACCAGTTGATAAAAATCAGTCTGGATGTTCATAGAAATGTTTGCTTTTGTACATAAGAGAATCAGTTAACGCTGAAAAGAGAATGCAAAATAAACAATGGAACTGACATCAGCTTCTGTGTGTCTTTTTTTTGTTAAAAAACTGTACCATCAGTGGTGTTAGATAAAGATGCAAAGTTGAGCCCTTGGAGGGTAGAGGAGTGAAGGGGGGGACAGGTAAGGTTGTCAGGTGAAACCAAAGGTTTGGGATATTTGGGTCATCTGGATTCTCAGAAATCAGGTGTAGCTGAAATGTGTGATAGTGAGGAAAATATTGCAGAGCTTGTGGTGGAGGGATTGAGATGCACGTTTAATTAGTTTGAGAATTTACTGTTTGATGCTTATGGCCTGTGAAAGCTGGCTAAACTCCTAGAGGTTTTATATTTTTTAGACTTCAGGGACCAAAACTGAATTGTTCTTTTAAAACATTGGTTTGCTTCAAATTTTATCAAATTTAACTTCTTATTTTTAATTTTTTTTTTTTTAACATTAGAACTACTACCAAAAGAGAAATACAGTAGGGGGAGAAGAAGCTGTTCTCTGCAAAATAACTCTCAATTATTACTACAGCTTTCAGATATTTCCAGTAGCCATATTATCTTCCTAGGGGACATGAAGTTTTGATTTAACTCATTCAGAAAATGTCATATGAAATCTTGACTCTCTTCACGTCAATATTTTACCTCTAAACTTCACTCCTTGTGCCTTTTTTTGTATAGATATTCTTTGTGGCTCTAGAATTGCAAAGATCAAAAAAGATTTTGCCCAGATTGTTCTTGTTCTCCTTTTTTCCTGAGGACTTTCCTGTTGATCTCTTGATAAGCAGCAAGTGCTGAAGATGGCCTTAGTCTTTACACACAACTTTTGTTTTAAAAAATTGGATTTGTAGCATTCTTTTTCTCCATTGAATTATTGCTAATTCAGTGGAGAAAAATCATTGAATTATTGAAGCTTTTTTTTTCTTTTTTTTTAATCAGCAGTTCAGATGAACATAATTTTAAGTAACTTGTACCCATACTCTTCTTTGTACAAAGTTTTGTTTTTAATGTGACTTTTACTCTCAACAGTTAAAGACCAGCTTCTGGGTCTCTACAGGAATAACTGTGATGTGACATGTAAGACCAGGTCTGCCTTGTGTACTTTTTACTGGAAAAATGTAAACACAATATATGTCCAAAATTAGAAAGATAATTTATCCTTAAGTTTTCTTTCCTTGTTTTTAAGAAAGGTAAGAGTGAGAAGACTGGAAAGTTCTCTTCTGATAGTCTATCTAAAACGGGTATTTTGTTTTTATTCACACATATAACCACACACAGCAGCACATTTTTCCAGTTATGATTGTTGAGAAGATTCTTCAGTGTCTCCAAGTGATTGTGCAGTTTGTCACCAAATGGGATTTTCAAAAGGCTAAAGCTTACTTTGTTTCAAATTATGTTATTAAATTCTAATATACACATATTATTGACTAATCAGAAACCTGAACTCATTTATAAGGTCAGAGTAAGTCACACACATTTTATTTAATTAGAAAAATGGAAAAATAAGATCCTATTTAAAGAACTGTATTTTTACAACATGCAAAATTACAGCAGAGGTCTCTGTCCTTTCCTAGGTTTTTGTATCTCTGTAAAATTTCAAATAACAGAGTACTAGTTTTAGTTGTTGAAAGACAGACATGTTAAGTTTGTCTTGGACAGATTACTAGTAATTCTGGTGGAAATGGCTGCTGAGTATTTCCCTCCTGTTTAGCCTTTTATCTGCTGAATCTGTGCTATAGCACAGGGAGAAGCGATTTCTAAATTTACAGTGTTACCTCCTGTACACCAGGTTCCTGATTCTGAGTCTTTTAGCAGGTTGTTTTAGCATCTATCTCTTCTTAGGATAGATAGACAAAATTACTTGTTCTTTTTGTCCTTTAGTTGGTTTCTCAAATTCAAATGAAATGGTACATAAAAAGAAAGATTGGGCTTGCCCATTTAAATGGAGCTTACCACTGCCTGACTGCCTTGGACTGGCTGACAAAAAGCTTTGCAATAGCGTAGAGGCTTATATTTTTCTTTCACCTAAAGTGTTAAATTGTGCATGTGAAAGGAGATGGAATTCTCTCTACCTCTGTTTTTTTTTTTTGAATATGTGAGAATATTAACTTTTTTCTTTTTGAATTTTAACTGTAGAAATAATCTGCCTAGCTAAAACTTCTCTGAGTTTTCACTTAAGGAAGTCATTCCCTCTTAAAAAAAGCCCTTCTAAAGTCCTGTTGTATTACGGGCTTTTTTGTCTCTGACTGGATTTCTGCAATAGTCCTTTCTATACAAGGTTCTCTGATTAAAATCTGCGATAAGACCTGCGAATTCTAGAATCCATATGAAAATAAGTGTAATTCAATGGAATAATTAAATATAAATAAAATTTTTTTCTACACATTTGACGCTTTCCCCAACACTTTATGTAAATACTCTTTTAAAAAATACAGTTTACAAAATTGTTTCTTAAAAGATGTTTCTTAAAAGATGTTAACAGTATGCTACTGATAATGCTTTTGCAATGTAAAGGTTTGACCATAAGAACTTTGTTAACTTTCAACCACCTTTGTTTATCAGGCAGATTTGCATACAGGTGTATTAATATTCTAAACTAATGCACCTAATGAATTTTACAGACTCTGGCTCTCCTACAAGTCAGTGAAAATTCAATTTATATGAGTAGTTAAAAGTAGCAGAGAAAAGATGGAAATATAGACCAATAATGCTCTCTTAACTGCTTTAAATTCTAATGTAAGGTGTTTTTGGGGGTGAGGTTGTCCCCTCTTATGCTAAGTAAGTATAAACGGCTTAGCCGTTTATAGTAATCACTTTAAAATATCTTGCTTTGAATCAGTCTAGGCTTGAGAAGACAACTACAGTGTCTACTTCTAGGCAGTTGCTGAAAGCAGACCAATCTTAATGTTCTTGCTGTTGACCAGCTTGTGCTCTCCACTCAGAGTTTTGCATTACTCTGAGTATTTCATGAAAACCTCACTGCAGTGTCTGATGCCAGTTGTGTAAATTATATAATTCAAAAATGGAAGAGGAAGGAAGGAATTTGCTATCTTTCAGAAGAATGCATTGTGGAAATCCAGTTAATCTCTCTATTGCAACCTAGTAGTTCTATTTTAATATCACCCCCACCCCCAAAAACAACCCCTACCAAACAACAGACCCATGAACAAACAAAACAAAAAACCAAAACCCACACGAAAAGTCTTTCACAAAGCTTTCAAGTAGTCCTTAAAAAGCAGCTTCTAACTAGCAGTGTATTAAAAATGCAAGACACAGCTATGTGGACCTGGTTTCTGAGGGTTTTAATAGTTTAGTCATTTGCTGACTGACTTTAACCCACAGCAAATGATTCATTGCATTTTTCCCCTTTGGAAAAAGTTTGATGGTGTCTTTAAATAATTATTTAGTCACTTTTTAAGTTGAGAAGCATTTATTCTGTCATGAAATACGTGGTTATTATTGTCTTTTGTTACTCTTGCTCTGAAAAAGTCTTGCATCACTGATTTGATTTGCATTTATTTTTTTACTTAAAACTTTATTAAAATCCTGAAGTTAACATCTATATTTATAATAATGTATTGCTGTGCAAAAATGTTTAAAAAAAGTAATTGTATCATAGCTGACATGTACTCTGAAAAAAATACCTGTAATTTGTATCAACAGCATACTGCAGAAAAAATGCAGCTTTTACATATTGCTTAGAAAAAGAAATACTTCTTTAAAAGTTGGAGAAGCATACCTAAAACTTTAATGTTATTCTTCTAAAAATATTTAAAGCCTTATTTATATGCTGTTGTAGTGATTCTATTTTATAAGACATACTTTTTAAAATAAAAATATTTATGTTGCTTTTTCATGCTATTTTTGTACTTGTGTTTTTTCTACAGAAACTAAATAATGACATGACCCTCAGCTAGCTGACTGACTGACTGAAAACGTGACTAGACATGGTTCCTGTGGACAGTGACAGCTTTTTCAGTGACAGCTTTTTTTTGTTGTTGTTTTTTTTAATTGTTACTTAGTTATCTTCTCTCTATGGTACTTTTTGATTTTGAATATGCAGACATGCAGTTTTGAAAATTATCTAGGTATTTAACATTGTAAACTGGTGGTTGTTCTTGTAGTAGTATATAATCCTGTATTACAGAAATAACTCTTGTTTTTACCTGAATTCCTCCTATAAGATGGAAATTACAATGATGGGGGAAATAAAGGAGTCAACATTTTCCGACGTGACTGGCTAGTTGATAATGATTCAGATTCTGTTAAGATAGAAGATGTTTCTCATAATCCAAATTGCACTGAAAAGTGAAGTGCAGCAGTAAATTCAGAGAAAATTAAATAAGCGTTTAAAAACTGCTAGCAGGTGTGACAGTATTAATCTAGATTTAAGAAAATAGCTGTAATCTAGAAAATGATTCAAAGTACATTCTTAAATATTTTGTTGACTTGGGCCAAAGGTATTTGTTATGCTTTGTATGCTGTTTAGTGAAAGTGACATTTGACTGTGGGTCAGACTATCAAAACTGCTTATATTTATCCTTTCTTATCCTGAGGTCTTTTGATTATAACTGGGGAAAGTATGGAGTCTAGGAGTGTGGTTTTGCCTTTTTTTTTTTTTTTTTTTTTTTTTTTTAAAGGGGTTGGGGTTTCTTGTTTTTTTTTTCTCCCAGAAGCTTTCAATGCATATGTTCAAGTTAGAGTTGGACAAGTCAGCATTTCAGCAGGATGAAGAGCACAGTCTGGCACTGATGGAGAGTAAATGAAGATAGTTCAAATATTTGCACAGAGAATTTTCAAATGCCAAATACAAATATGTATTCCTGCATACCACTTGTTGAATTGAAAATATCCTGGTTATTAAAATAATTTATGCAGATAAAATTGAGGAATTCTAGTTGTATGCACGCTACAGGACAAGCATGCCCTTGGATGCATCTCCCATCCTGGTCCCTTGATCATTGGTGTGGGGAGAGACACTGAAGCACCCTCTAAATTCTGACTCTGTGCACCTTTGGAAGTATTTCCTTCCAAGAAATCCCTACCTCACAGGAAGGTTTGGATGAGAATGCAGGTCTTACTCCCTTAGTTCCAGGATGGGATAGTGAACTGTGTTCAGGGTAGACATCATCAGTGTATGCACTTTTAATGGGCTGGGAGAGTTATTTACATTGATAAGGGGCTTGGGTCACAGGGGAGACAGAGTCAGGGACAGTAGATCTGGATAGTGGCCTTTAAGAAACAATGAGATTTGAGCTTTTATCCTACCCTATAATTTCATGCACTTACCCACTTTTCTCCACTCCCTGCCAGCAGTGTTAGGTTGGCGTCGCCTCAGGTTCCCTTCCTGGTGGGGAGATGCTGCTGTTGGGAGGGCTGGGTGGAAGGTTGTTTTTGTGCTGTGCAGCTGCTCAGTCACCAGCTTGGGTCCCACTGGCCAGTGTCCCTTAGCAGCCCTGGGCTTTCATTTTTATGTAGCTCACTGAGCTCCAGGATCATCGTCCTCCCTTCCATGATTCTCACCATCTGCTTCTCCAGCCCCTTTCCAAGACTGTTGCTTCTTACCAGGAAACCTTTGCAGCCTCCCTTCTGGTGCTGCAGCCCCTTCATTTTCCCAGTCTCAACAGTGAATGTGCAGAGAAACACAGCACCTTATCATAGTGAGTTTGTCTTGTGTCTCTTTATTAATTTAAGCTATGTTTTTACCTACAACAGATGGGCTGCTTTTCTTGTTTTATTGGTTTTTTTTAAAAAGGAAGGAGGAAATGAGAAGGTATTGGAAAATACCTCCAGTTGTAAGTAGCTAAAAGCTGCAGGTGAAACTTCTTAATTTTCTCCTTTGTTTCCCAACAGCAAAACACATGTACCCAATAAAGTAATGGCCTTGGTTGGGATATGGGGAGGTGGGGTTGGGAAGAGGAGGGAGGTGAGAGTTTTTGATAAAATCTTTTTAACTGGAAGACATGCTTACTCAGACCTTAGAGCTTTACCTTTTGGTGCTTTACAGTCAGCTGTCTTAAACTACTCCTAGGATGCAAACCTAGATTAGCCATCTGGTAATTGTCATTTGACTTCACCTACTATCAAATTAATGCAATTAGAATAATACTACATGCAGGTTACTTAATGTTACTTATACAGCAAATATTTTAAAGTATTTAGTAAATACTTCAATACAGTCATGTTCAACTAGATTTTATTTCCTGCTCCTTATTAAGGAGTATCAGTAAAAATACTTTTGCATTAGAGGGTATATGAGAATAAGCACTGTCATTGCAATTGTTTCAGAAGTTTAAATTCAAGTTTAAAAGTTGAAAAAAAGTTCTTCCTATGTTAAAAGAATATTAGAATTCAAATGCTCAACTGTGAGGAAGTTGCAGAATAAAGATTGCCTAAGAAACCTCTTTTTCCTTCTTTCCATCTCCCTAGTACGTGTTACAATGCAGTCCTTGATGACTCCCCAGCAGCTTTTTTCCTCAAGAGCAGTTGTTCCATTCAGCACAAAGAACAGAATTTGAATCAAGGCTGCATGGTTAACGCAGGCTGTAAAATTCCTGCTCAATTTGGTGTAGATGTTAGAAATCAGAGGTTTATGCTTGAGCCTGGAGAATTGGATCCTGTCTGTGACTCTATCCCAAAGGTTGTTCATAAGAATGGTTGCCACCTCTCTGGGGTTCCCGTGAAAAAGTCCCAGTTTGGGTTGGTGTGTTAGGTTTTTTTGCTACTTGGTTGGTTTTGTGATTTTTCTTTTCGTCCATTATGTTAAATTTCAAGTAGCATATGGGGGAAATAATTCTGACAAGGTTACCATAAATCCCAAACTCCACAACTGTGAAGCAGCACCTTTGCAGACTTAACTGTACAGTCAATGTGTGCAGTGAATCCAGAACTTTCAGAAAGCATCAGTCCTATTCTGGATACATGGAGAGACACCATGTTTGAGTAGAGGGGTCTGACACATGCTGCTGAACCTGTATGGTGCAGTGTATCTGCACAGTGTCAGGTGAAATGCTGAGAATGCCTATACAGGCAGTTGAAAGAAACCCCAACTTCTCATTTATGTGATAGAATCAGCCTTCTGATGAGTCTCTCCTATGTCACGATCCCTGGTCTGATGTGGTACTGAAGATGGATCCCTGTGTGTTTAGGGGATATAAACATCCCCAGGAGGGTAAACACTCAAAAACGAAGTGACTGGTGTCTCTTTTTGGCCATCCAACGTGGGGAATTAAAAATCAGGTTGGCATGATCCTAACAGGCATGATCCTAATGAAGGGAGCATTCAACACATACAGAGGGTTAAAGGATACCCTTTACAACTTGAACTAATGTTACAAAGTACCAGAGCAGTGCCATTTTCTAATTGTTCTCCATCTTTTGTTTTGTAATTACATGGCTCTGGGAGTAGTAGGGCCACTGCACTCCCCTGGGCATGGAAGATCAATGCTCCCTGCTTTGGGCTGTGAAGTTCTCTTGCCTGCTCGTTCAGTCAGGTCTGCAATTGGAGAGAATTGGAATTGTGCTGGAACTTGAAAAAAAATTTTTTCCATTTCTGGTTCTAAAATTTCAAGGTACCCAAAAAAGCAACTCTGCAAACAGCATCTCCCTTTTAGTCAATATCGAATCAGGCTACTAGTTAACTCACATGGAGTCATTTGCAGTGTTCTGGTAATGTTTTTAGAAGATACTTAAACCAAAATCATTATTGCTCTCCTTAGAGTTCAGTGTATTTACTGAAAGTATTAATGTACTATTCTTCTCTAAGTAACAGTTTGTGTAAATACATCTTGCTGTTTTAAAGTCCCCCAGCATTTTTGATTGGATATGATATTCACCACTCCTTATTTCAGTTGTTATATAGCACTACTGGTGAGTGGCATGCTGCTTTTATAGGTCATTTTATTGGTAAGTAAAAACTGTCTGCTGTGAAAATGAGTATTAGGTTCCTACACTGGAAAAAATCTTGTCACTCATATTCCTTTTGCTGGTGTTTAGTGAATTGACCAAAACTTGTATAGGGTTTTTGGTGTGCTATTTTGCAGAATCAGTGCTTTAATGCTGGTAAGTAGAATTTAGTATGCTTACCTGTGACTTGGATTTCAGCTGTGTTCATCAGCCATAGTTTTTGTAGGCATTGAACAAGGCTTTTATACCTTTTGAAAATGAGATAATACAGATTTCATAAATTACACTAAATGATGTCCAATAGAAATCATTTTATCCATTTATTGAATCATAACTGCTTGGTCAGTAGAGGAGCCTTTTCTTTGTGTAACTTGGGGAAGATACTAATCTGCTTATGTTGTCTGAATGTCTACATTAGAATATTTTTGATTATGAAATGAAAAAAGGCCATTCTCAAGAGGGCTGTGCATTCTGAATGTGATCTGTGAGTCAGTGATTGCAGTGCCTCTCTGGGTCCTGGGGCTCCTGAGACCTTTTTCTTTAGTGGCACAAACCAGTCCTAGGGCACCTCACATGGGGGTAGAGCCCAGGTTAGGAGTGCAGCGTGCAATTGGATTTCCTTTGCATCCTTTCTTATTCTTCCTGTTGGTGGTCCTTTTTCTGACCCAGGACACTTTGTCATGTCTCTTCTGCTCTGTCTCCAGAGATATCATCTGATGTCTGCAATACCAGGAACCTCCACTCTTTCAATTACTGTAGAAGTAAGTGACAGACAGAAGGAGTAATCATACTTAAGTGGAAACTGTTGAAGGTGAAAACATGTAATTATGTGCCCAGCTCCAATTCAGGAAAACTAATTTCATATTCTCATCATGCCATTTTCCTGAACTTACTATCTTTATTTGTTAAACATTCATTTAAAACTTTATCAGAGATTCTACTCAAGTTTTTCACAGAATGTAGATTAGAACTGCATTTATATTGGTAAATCTTCTCCAAATAAAATGAAGAAAAAACTATCAAAGGAGGGTTAACGATGCCAAGTTCACTTTCAAATAAAGCAAAGGGACAAAGGGTGACACCGCAGCCTGCAGTGCTGTGAGGCAATCCCCCTGGTTCCAGCAGAGGTCACTGGGCTCCTGGGTGTGTAGATGGAGACTGCAGCTCAAAGCTGACACTGCTGAAAATCTTAACCTGCTCCTAAGATAACCTATATATAGAATGTCATAACCAAAAGCTTGTGGGTTTTTTCCACAGGTAAAGAATTATTGCTAAGTGTATCAATTTCAAACACATAATTTAAAGTGCTTTTAACGTAAGTTAATAATTAAAATAATTAATTGATTTAAAAGTAATAGAGAGAAGACAGAAGCCTATTTTAACTTGCATATTTTCTCTGAATTATTTTTAAGCCATTTTTTTTCTTCATAGCCTTTCAGTTTTAAAATACAGATGTTCTAGTTTTGCTTGCACATGCCTCACATATCTATTTCTGATTTATGTTTCTTTCTGTTTCAGAGGCTTTTCCTAGTTTTGCAAATGCAGGATTAGCCAAATACTTTTAAAATTATCATGCTGAGTATGAAAATTTTCTGTGAGATGCCTGAAAACACTGCATACAGAACACCTCTCTATACCATTTTTTGGCATTTTTGCAATTTTTCTGTAAAAGATTAGGAGCAAGATAATGAGCAGGAACTAGGAAGAGAATTGGGAGAAAAGAGACAAAACAAAGGAAAAATAAGGAAGATTATAAAAAAGAAGTTCTGATTTCGAGAAATAGAACAGGAAACAGTCTAATAGGAGGTAAGGCATGGAGATTCCTGCAGGAAAGCCACTTCGGATATGGGGAAAAGCAGGATAATCCAAATTATTCAGATCTTAAGACACAAGAGATGGAGGGCACTGTGGTGCTCTGGAAGCCAAATGCTTCAAGATTAGGTTGTTTTTAGGGATTTGGAGTCTTTTGGATGGATGTCCATCACAAATGAACTCTAGAAGCCCTTACATTAATTGTAACGTCACTCTTTCGTGTCGTACTTCTCCTTAATTTTGAAATGCAGTGATTGCCATGCACAATGCACATTTCATATACACACAATGAATATTATGGCACCAGAATTACTTTTAAAGCAATATCTGTTTTTTCAAAACTGTATGCATTCTGCTCATTTATCTTGTTAGGTAATTTCTCCTTCATCACTCTGGTGTGTGGTGGTACTGTTACTCCTTGCGCTGACACAGCTCACCCCAGCTGCAGCTCTCTGGAGTTCACTGAGTAACCTGCAGCACAAATTCACATCAGGTCACTCATCCACAACCTCTGCTTTTGGCAGGGACAAGCACAGCAACAGAAGCTTGAGTTAACAGGCAGAATCAGGCCTCCTGCAGCCAGCCTGATGCTGTGCTGCACTCAAAACCCGAAGTGGTTCCAGGTGCTTCAGACAGCTCTGGTAGCTGAAGCTGTGGAGACTGAAACTCTGCACCAGGCAGCTCTGCTGGGTACAGGAGTGACGAGAAGTGTGTAACTGGATATAACACAAAACACCGTTCAGCTGCTTGCTCTGCTTGCTTATAAATGCTTTAAAGGAAGGTTTAAAGAGGAGTTGCTTTGAGGGATGATGGGCTTTATGGACTTGGTGCTTTGTAAACATCATAAATCACAGCTTGAAAATAACACTTCAGTGCTGTAAAGTCCACATATCTCATAGATGGTGGGGCTGTTGTTTTGAACTATACATGGCACTGTCAGATTAATTAAATATTGACACAATAAGACTCTTATTTCATCTACTTTAACAGTATACATCTGCCTGCTCCTAAACCTTAATTCTTTTATTATGATTTTTCTTGAAATTCTGCAAACTCTCTGGAGCTTGGAAAGGTGGGGCTTTGCCCAACATGAAGTGTAGGGTGTTCAAATCCAGTGTTAATGTACAATATCCAACACACAGTATCTACAGGACTTATATTAAGACTGAAGAGTTAACTGCTGACCAGACCCAGCTCTATATTTAGAGAAAATGTTTACAAATCCTGAGCATGCGAGTACAGAAGTTTCTCTGGGAATTCTTCCAACTCTTCTGACTGAGTTCTGTCTTTGGAAGGTGCTAATGAGTAAATTTTCCAGATGACATTTTAAGGAGTACAGGACAACGTTAACAGAGCATGTTCAGGTATATGGTCATGAAAACTCTATCAGAAATGTAAGTATATGCAGGAAATATATTCTAAAATTGAAATTACAAGCAACTTAACAAATAAAATTGCAAGATTGCTGAAAGTTATTTTAAGTACCAGAATGTAGATTGTCCTCATCCTTGGCACACTAAATCCCCCTCCTAATGTGTCTGTTATATCCAAGGATAGCAGGCGTAAAGTAATACTTAATCAGCAAAACAAAATCAAAGGCAATGGCATATAAAAACATGTACTGTATGTCTTGACCCACTGATGTTTTTAAGTTTTAATCAAGTCCATAGAGTTCACTTCTATTCAGAGTTCACATTAGTATAATAATGCCAGAGGACATTAAAATTTGCTGCTCTTCTCTGTGACAACATACCAGCTAAGCTACTTAAAATTATTGCTGGAATTTTAGACACGGGTTATCCATACACAGATATCACAGTAGGTTTTTCCTTTGCCTAAAGGCCGAGGATACAAAGATGGCCTCAATGCCCATATATAAAAGTGTTGTTGGAATTTTAACCTGGAGACCATTTGAAACTGTTTGAAGGTGGGTAATCTCTGATCTTGCTTTGGAAAAATAAATTAATTAGATAGTTCTCAGGGAGTGCAGAGGAAACTTGACTGCTGTGACCCTTTTCAAAGCTATTCTAGTGGAGTTATATAGAGAAAAGTCCTTTAAATACTGAAGCTTGAAAGAACTTAGAATAGAAAGCAGCGTTGGTAATAGCCAGCAGGGTTAGAAGGTAGTAGTGATAACACTTGCAACCAGAGACTTCTTTGTTGTTTAAAATTTACAGCTCAAAGTGTTTACACTGCTTTGGTTTTGCATTCTACATAGTAAAGAAATCATGCAGTTAGCTGAAGATGAAGCTATGGAACTACTACTCAATTGCCAAAATCAAGTATGAAACAAGCTCTTATTCTTTGAGTGGAGATAGTTAACTATAGAGGGTATCAACCATATAGATTTTGGGTTTTTCTGAGGTTGAACTGATTGGTCATATGTTTGTCTTCAGAGATTCTTTGAGTTCTGATAAACTGTATTTGAGATTTGCTGTTCAGATTTCTGGCTTCTTCTATTTAATAGGGATATTCTTAATAGAACTCTTATAAATTGTGATTATCTATGTAAGATATTTACTTGTAATTTCAGTTTTAAATTATCTTTGGGTATTTCTACTTCCCTTTTTAGTTTCTTCAATGAGAAGACACAATTTTCCCTTTTTCTTCGAGGATGTCCAAGAATGGTTTATATTTTTTTTCATGATCTATGAATATGGAAAGTATTTTTGTTATACTCTGTGCTTGTTATAATCTTGTTATAATCTTACGCTGTTATGCTTTAGGCTTTCTCTTACTATGTGCTGTCCTGATTTTGTATAAAGTAGAAAAAAAAAATTGGTGCTGAAATGAATAGACCAGTGTATATGGACTGTCACTACAGAAATTGAAGAGCAAAATATTGAGATGATAAAACCAGTTTTTCTAAATTCTCTTCAGAGGAATTGAAAAACACCTAAATGGAAAGATCAGGAACTAAGAGTCTGATTTCACTCCTACTAGGGAATATGGAGAAAGGCAGGAATATGCTTTCATACGTAGGGATGCTGCTTGTCTTTGGTTTCTCACACCTAACTGAGGAGAAAGAATAAACCATTTGAATGGCTGCACAAGACTGTGTAAAGGTCCATTTAATCTGGTAACCTGCTCTCTACAGTGGCTGGAAACTGATGCTCAGAAAGAGTGCGGAAATGGCACAGATAATGAGTGTCTCTTTGTGGACACCTCTCAATAGGCAATGGGGCAGGTACCTTCTCAGCAGGAACTGCAAAGGAAATTGTTGTGCCTACAACTGTCCTTCATTCATTTGTATAATCCCTGCTTAAAATCATCTGTCTCTTCAGCTTCATAGCATAGTATAGAAGCAGGCTATCTGTATTAATAACATTTTGTATGGAAAAGTTTTTTCCAGTTGTTTTAAACCTGCTGCCTGATCTGAGTTTCACTGAAGCCCTGTGTGATGAAAAATAGCATGTGTTCGTTTCCTGTCAGCCTCCTATGTATCATTTGAGATTTTATAGATGAAAAGACAATCCTTTCTCAGTGTGCTCTTCATCTAGAAATTATTTCCTCACACAGATGCATTCTCATACTTCTGTATGTATTTTTTCAGCTGCATACATGCATTTTCGTATGAAGGAACCAGAACTGTACACAGCACTCAAGTGCAAAGAGATTTACACAGGGTTGTAATGAGCTCTTCTGCTTTGTTCTCTACTGCTTTTGGAGCAATTTCTAATATTGTTTGCCTTTTGGACTACTGCTGAGTAGCAAACTAATGTTTGCAGAAAACTACTCACAATGACTCCAAATAATAAAGGCTAATTTAGAGCCCATTATTATGTATGTTTAGTTAGGGTTATTTTCATTACTGTTTACATTAGTTTGCAGTTATTGACATAGACTTTCAGCCACTGTCTCATCACCCTATTGCTCACTATTGTCAGATCCTTCCACAGCTGCTCAGAGTCAGCTTTCATTTTGCCTATCATGAGTAATTTTGCATCATCAGGAAACTGCAAAGATCATTGGTCTTCACACTTTTAGGCTATTTAGGTGTAACCCTGCTCATCAGAAGTATTCTAAGCAATTCAGCCCTAAGGAGGACTCAAAGAGGAAAGTAAATAATGTTGTGTTAGGTGTTCAGAATCTGTCAAAGAAAGGGGACATTGATCTGGTTACCTGATGTTGGTCCCGATGGCAGCTGTGGTTCCTGGTTCATGGAAATGGCTCTTCAGTCCTCTGGCACTCTCCTACTGTAGGGCACATCCAGTTTGCCTGCATTTCTGCTTTCAGAGCACATGCCTCATAGGAACCTGCCTCCCAAGCTCTCCCTCTGCCTAATTTGTTTATTATCAGACACTCTTTAATGCTCTTTGGTGCTCTGCTATATGCTTTTTCTTCAAGGCACTTCCAGTTCACTGGGTACTACTGCTATATTCTCACAGTTTTGCATAATTCAATGAATTTGCAAAAAAGACAAGGTGTAATTTGCAAAAATCTTTAATAAAAACATGGGTTTGCTACCTATGCCTTGTCTAAGGGTACTGTTTTGTCAAACACGTGCAAACCCTAACAATCAATGAGAGCAAAGAAACAATAATATTGCTTATTACAGGAGAAAATAAAATTATTTTCATAGGGTTCTGTTAGTAAACATTTTCGATGCCCATAGATTTGCTTATCCTCGGGGTATGGGTGGTAAGCAAACATTTTCTTTTATATTTAGTAAATTTCCCTGCTGCCTGAATGAAGAATGGGACATTTTAAAGGCATTTGTGTCTTACCAAGAATTGTGGAAAGAATTCTAGGGTTTAACCTGTGGAGGTTTTATCTCTGCATGGAGAATCAAACCATGTTTTATTCTTTTCTTCTGGAAAACCTGCCTGGCAGTTGTTGATGAGAGTAAACTTGAGAAAAACAAGTCAGGTTCTTGGATGGACAAAATGGAATATAGCTCCTCTCTTGTGTTTAGGTCCTTATGTCAACATTTCATCCAGATGTTCAAACTGTTGCTCCTGGTGGTACAAATTATGAGTAAAAATCAGTGAAAAAAATTCCCATATCATTATGTAACAACAACAAAGATTTTCAAAACATTTATGTAAGACTACATAAAATCAGCTTATATAAACAGTTCTGAAGTGGTATGGTCATAATCATCTACAGTTGTCTAAGAAACAGTTCTATGTAAATAAGATGAGGATGTATAGAAGATGAGGACAGTACCTGCATGCATACACTTCACTAGCATTTTGGCATCCACCATCTATGTAACTTAATTGTATCATTTTAACAAAATATTTAAACTGCCCTTCTACATATTTGTTTCTCTTTAAGTATAGGTAAATTAGTAAAAAAAAAAAAATTTCTGGATAATAGCCACTTAAGAACTTGGTATCAAGATCATTAGACAGTATTAAAGAATAAGTTGTTCAGAAACAAGCGAGCTAATTAACAACACAGTTTTCTGGAATTTCTTTCAGGTCACAGATGTTGAGTGGCTTCTTGTCTGAAATGGTGTTGTTGAATGGTGACCTTAACACACCTCCATTTCCTTGCCCCGTTACTTACTTTAGAAGAAAAATAAGCGACTACATTCCTGGTATTACTAAGCATTCCATAATGTGGAGCTTTTTAAGAATGGCTTCTTAATTTTTCTATGGATTTTATATGAAAACTTACTCTGACGCCCACCATAATCCCACTTAATGATTTTCCTGTTTCAACTCTTAGAAACTAAACACCAAAAAGAAAAAAATTTGTGTTACTTAATGAATCTAGAGGTTACACAAGAAGTAGTATGTCAAGGGATTCTTCTATGGAGGTCTTTGCTCTAACAGGAAAACAACTGTGGTTCTTTGTATGCCAGGGTCTCCAAAATGATCCTTTGTTGCACAGTGATGCTGCCAAGTCTGGAACTGCCAGTTTGAGAAATGGGGAAAACATAAACCAGCATCATACAGCCTGTTTTGTCTTTGCTTAATGAATAGTGTAGGCTCAGTAATTTATAGAATGCTGTAAATCTATTTTTTTTTCCCCAAGGTATTTGCCCTTTTCTTCCCACTTCTCTTACTGAAATTTGCTGGCAGTGGCATCTAGTTCTCCAGGAATTTCGACTGATTTTCTTGGACCACACAATCTATTTCCCATCTTGTTACCATGATCCAGAGAGCGGGGCTAAGCTGGGGGATGTAAATAGTAGGAGGAGTGCAGTTTGCCAGGAGAGGTCTCAGAGCCATCGCTGGAGGGGAGGACAGTGTGACCAGGCTCTAGCAGAAGGACCAAGGTGCCAGAGGTGAGTCATTAACCAGATAGGCGAGTTTGAAACCTGTCTCCTCCACAGCAGGGAGACCTGTGCCACTCAGTAGGTTCTCTACACAAGACAGTCCAGCTTCCCGTTTCCAAAGGTGTGTCTAAGCGACCAAGGATGTCGTAAAAGCCATGATGGAGAATCTACAGAAAAAACCCCAAACAACCCAAAACCAACAAAAACCCCTAATACAGATTAGACCAAAGAAGTGATTTCTACAGCAGCTTTCTTGGGCATGTAATGTGTGTTTTTACAACAACAACCCATTATCGGCTGACAAAGACTGATCGGCTAACGCAGTGAACGCTGCGGGAGGGTGACGGTGCAGGGTTGGGTGTTGTGCTTGTGTCACCAAGCCTGGGTGGGGAAAGGTCCTTACGCGGCTGCTGACAGCCCAGTCCCTCGGCGGCACCCCTTTGTCTGACACCATCCTCCCGCCCCTGGCACGGAGGTCCCTCTCTCTCAAGCGCAGCCCCGCTGTTGCCCACGTGCTTTCCCGATTAATTCCAGACCTGATGTCATGATCGAAGCCCATGACTCGGTCCCCGCCGCTGCCCCGTTTCTCCGACACGCCGGCAGCAGCCTGACTCCGTGCTTTGCGTGGCGCACCGGGGCCGGCTGCAGGAGCGCACAGCGAGGTGCGGTGCGGTGCGGTGCCGAGCCCCGGAGCCGCCCCGCCGCTGTGCGCACAGGGCCGCGGCCGCGCTCGGCTGAGCATCCCTGTGCCGGCCGGCCCTGCCCAGCCCAGCCCGGTACCTGTGCCCGGGGCAGCGCAGGGCCACCCGCCGCAGGTGGGGCCCGCCGGCGCAAGGGCACCTTGGCCGGCGGGCGGGGCGGGGAGCGGCGCGGCGGGGCTGCGGCGGCGGCTGCCCGCCCCTCTCCTCCCTCCCTCCCTCCCCCTCCGTCAGGCGGGCGGGGAGTGCGAGGAGCGGCAGGGCGCAGCCTCCCGGGCCGCAGCGGGGATGCGCCGCGGAGCCCTGTGAGGAGGTGGGCGCTGAGCGGCGGCGCTGGGGGCGCTGGGGGCCCGTGCGCGGAGCCGAGCGGCGGGACGGGCCGTGCCGGGAGCCGCGGGTCGGGGCGGGTCGCGGCGGGGTCCCGGGGGCTGGGCAGGGGGCCGGTGCCGCGGGGCGCGGCGGTACCCCCGGAGGGGCGGGAGCGGGCCGGGGCGCGGAGGCGGCGGGGCCGGGCCCGGGGCTGGGGCAATGGCCCTGCGGGGGCTCTGCGGCCCCGGGGGCGCATCCGGAGCATCCGGAGCGGGGGGCCGGGCCGCGGTTACGTAACTGCATCCGCGCAGGGAGGTGCGCCCGTGTCAGCCCCCAGCCCGCGGCTCCGCTGCCGCTCCCCGAAGGCGGGATTTTTTACCCCTTCGTTGCAGAGCAATTTAAAATGCCCCAATAAACTGTGTGGTCTGCCAGGTTCGGTTGTAGATTAGCTATTGCCAAGTTGATACACTGTTAGGATACCTTTGTTGTTTTCCTTCTGTTTCTCTCAGAACCAGGCAGGAACGGCCTATATTCCCAATTTGCTAGCAATGCTGCAAAACCTTTCCAAGTACTTTGAAGATGTATGGGTTCGTTAAAATTGGTGTTTGGAAATCATCTGTTTGTCAGAAGTGCTGATGCTTAACATTACTATCTGACGTGGGTTTTGCCATTGGCTCATCATTTCATTTCAGTTTATAATTGCTGTAGTGTGCTGTGAGGCTACATCGTTGATTTTCTTCCCAAAAGCTTCAGCAATGCAGATGCTATGGACTAACAGTAACTGAAACAAAAGACCTTGCTGTACTTCTCAGAGCAAATTAGGAAGCCAAGGTCGAACAGCGAACTGCAACGCAACTTGTATGGGGAAACAACAGAACAAAAGTATTCACAAATCTTATTAGACAGTTTAAGTGAAAACTGTTCCTTAAATAGACTCTTACTCAGTAGATGAAAAAAAATTGCTTAGTGAAGGTGTGAGGAAATAGCTATTTTAGGACTACAATTAACTGTATCAGCTCAATTTTAATGGAACTAGTACATTTAATTGCATTCCTAACAGATTTTCTGTTCTCTAGATGATTAAGTTGCAGAATGATACCAGCTCAAAGATTAAAATCTCATCAAATATCTAATGGTTTCTGTACAATGTAATTGTGTTTGGTTTATAATAGTTCTTTTCTAATAACCAACCTTTGTCCATATAGCTGTAGATATCATAATTAGACTTTTTTTTTTCATGGTATAAATGACAGGACCTTGACCTTTAGAGGTTAAGCAGATGTGGTTGTTAGGGATCTTATACTTTTAGTAAATATAAACGTCTTTAAGTATATATATAATAAATAGGGATTTCTTTTCGTTTAAAAACTACACAAGAAGACTACTTTCTCTTTTATCTCCTCTTAGATAAATTAACAGAGATGTGTACAAGACTGATTATTTAAAAACCTTAAAGAGTTTATATTTAAACTATGTTTTCTGTACAAATACATGGCGGGATGTGTATCTGGACAGCAATACATTGCAGGATCTGTGCCTGAAGACTCTCTATACATTTTCCTTTGCTACTGAGGGCTGACAGAGGTATCTTTTGTTGTACTGTAGTTCAACAAGCTTGCTTCTTCCACTTCCCATTAGTTGGGTATTGCGCTCACAGATCCTCGACAGTGCTTATGAGCTGTACCTGGCTATGGAAAGATAAAGCTTTGTGACTTCTTTAGTAGGGGAGTCCCCTGCCTCCTCTGTTGCAAATGGTGGTGGAGATGGGACTGGTCTCCTTTGCTACTTCTTCCTCTGGTCCACTCTGGAGATGAAAGCAGAGAGTGTTCATAGTACAGCTTCATTTTCCTTTAGTCCTCTGGCATGTGTATGTGATATGTACATGTTTACCCCTTGGTGCTGCACATTTCAGCTGAGGCATGGTCTGCTGATGGATTTCATAGCGTGGTGGAAGTGAATGCTTTTGTTCTTGTTTGGCCAGATACACATCATATCAGCATAGGTTTTCCCTGCCTTTTTTTTTTTCTTTTTTTCCTCCCACATAATCCTTTAGAATCCTGGGAATTTACACTTCTTTACCATGTGGCTTTGTCTCAGGAGGGTTGTATTTCCTAAGGGTCTTAGTCCTCTAGGTCAGCCCTTCTGTGCCTGTGACGCACCAGAGAACCTGCTGTCAGTGCAGTGAGAGACGGCAAGGAACTTCTAGTGCTTCACTGCTAAAGATGTGTGTGTTTATATTTTTACTCTGTGTGTATGTATACAGTGAGCCTATCCTAATGGTTTAATTAGCCCTTACGCCTCATGTATAGGGTGGCAAACACTTGTGCTCTTTTCTAATATTTTTTTAAAACACTGAGCAATTAAAAAAATTCCCAGAGATTTCTGGGAGTGTTTTTTTGTGTCTTTCTTTTTTTTCCCCCTAGTAACTAAATGCTTTGTGGTTTTGAAGTTTTTGACTGTCCTGGCATGAGAAAAGGCAGCAGTTATTGCAGATAACTTTTATGAGAAATGTTACTCTGGGCAATTATACTTAAAAAAGGAATTTCTCCAAGAACTTCCTTCAGGCTTGTGTTTCTTTCTTAAGCTAAGTTTAATGAGATTTAAAAAATTCTTCACAGTGGAATGCTAAAGTAAATACTTACTTTTTTTTTTTGGGGGGTTGGAAGGTTGGTGTTGAATTTGCCATATCAAGGTTCTAAGTGTTGAAGGAAGCAGCAACAGGTGCAATACACAAATGAAGGTAAATATGCTCAGACCATTTGAGGGATGTTGGATTTTTGACAGATTAAAAACATGGCTTTGGTCATAGACAGGGAGACTCCAGCTGCCAAAAGTCTAGTGACAAGGTAGTTGTATAGTGAGGTGCCAGGTAACATGAGCTGAATTTGGTTGTAATATGAAATAGTAAGGAATATGTAATTATAGAGTTGTAGAATGGTTTGGATTGGAAAGGACCTTTACAGGTCCTCTAGTCCAACTGCCTGCAGTGAGTAGGGACATCTTCAACTAGACCAGGTTGCTCAGAGCCCCATCCAACCTGGCCTTGGATGTTTTCAGGGATAGGGCATCTACTACCTCTCTGGGCAACCTGCTTCAGTCTTTCCTCTCCCTCATCATAAAAAATTTCATCCTTATATCTTGTCTGAATCTACCCTCTTTTGGTTTAAAGCTGTTACTCCTTGTCCTATTGCTCTTGTCCTAGGCCTACTAGTAGAGTTCATGCTATGAGTGGTGTTATTATGTTTGTAATTAATTTCACATTTCCATACCAAGGTTTTCTTAGCTGTAAATACAAGCCCACTATTTCCTGTAAGGCAGAATGAGGCAGTTAAAAGTGTTTTTTTAAATGCAACTGCTATATATATCCTGATGAATGGTGTTTCTAGCATGTCTCTCTTTTGGGGTTGATCCTTTAAAAAGAGTTGAAAAGGGATGGAAGGACATTTTGATGCTGGTAGCTGATAAACCAGTGAAAGGGAGGACAACTGAATGTGAAATGTGGAAGCTGAGAGAAGACCACAGGAGTTTCTGTGTGTAGACAGTCAAACTTATGTATTTTAGGGAAACTTCAGGACTGCACAGAGTTGTTAAGGGGGAAAAGAGGGAACAGTGCTAAAATACTAGAGACAACTGTTAAAAGAGCAAAAAGCAGGGTTGGTTTTGTTGCTGTTGGTTTTTGGTTTTTTTAGTGAGTGTTGGCCCAAGTGACATCTGAAGGGTCCTTTCAACCTGAATTATTCTGTAATTCTGTTTTGGCATGAAAGGTGAAACCCAGAAAATTGTTAATTTTCTATTAACAGTGAAAAATAGATGGTGCTGAGAAACTCTGAATTATTTCTTTTTCTGCATATGTATGTTAATCCTACAGACTTTTCAGATAGTTTATAAGCTGGTTCCAAGTGAAATATGTTACTGTCTGCTGAGGGCTATTTACATAGGTGGTAGCAGCAGGTAGGGAGATGCTGAATTTCCAAGCTTGTCTTTCTGAGACAGCTACAGGCTGGTTGCTTAAATGGTTTCAGTGTAAGCCCCACCATCACCAACTCAGAAACTGAAAAAGATTTTATGTCATTACTTGTTGCCTATAACTTTAAAAAGAGAAGTTTAGAAGGAAGAAGAGGAGGAGTAAGCTGGAGATTGAACAAGAGTAAGAGGATAGGTCTGGAATGTATGACAGTTGTAAACTCCTTAAACTAGGAGAGCTGTACAATCATTCTTAGAAATGTTCTCTGTAGCAGAGAGAACAGATGCATTTTGAAATCAAGTTAAATGATTTCAAATTTTTTTAATTCCTTAGAAATGAATATATCTTAATACTAATTGAGAGCACATCTCATAAAGGAAATAATGGATATATTAATATGAGGTGTAAAGGAAAGAAGTCTCTAATTCATTGTGAACTTAATATGGAATTGCAAGAATTTTAAGTAGCAGATGTCATGTTGCACTAGATTCAGTTTTCTACCAAAAAACTAATTTCTTTCTGGGAAGCTTGGTTTTCTTGTTGTCTTCTTACTCGAGGATGGAACCTGTACTTCTATGAGAGTACAGTCCTTGGGCATATCTTGAAGGTTCTGTGTTTCTCAGTCAAATATATATTTCACATTTTTTGAATTTAAGGCCTCCTTCCACTCCAGTGAATCCTTTCCTCCTTATTGTGGAATGCTGAGAATCCGGTGGATAAGCTGAATCCACATAGAATTTAAAAGATAGAAAGTCCAGTCTTGCTTATGATCTCTTACAGTGCTGTCTGACTGCTTA